GGGGGGATAAGGGACAGCCTGGGGCCTTGGAGAGAATGGGGGAAAGTTGGAAGGGTGTTCAGGGTTTGGGAGGGTCAGGGGTCCTGCCAGGGGGTTCAGTGTTCAGAGAGGTTGGTGGGTACCTGTGGGGGCTCAAGGGGCTGCCTGGGAGTTCTGATGTTTAGTTGATTGATGGGGAAATAGGGGTTCAAAGGTTTGTGGAGCTGGCTGGCATAATTCAGGGGGTTCTAAGAGCCTGCCGGGGGCTTGGGGAACTGGGGGGTCGGGAGGTTTGGGGACTATAGAGCCAGGGGATGACAGTTTGGGGGGCTATGAAGTCATCTGGGGGGTGAAGAGGCTTAGGGGAGCAGGTTGGGGAATTCAGGAGGTTTGGGGAGGCTTCAGGATCTCTGGGGTTGGCTGTAGGTGAGGAGTTTTCAGGGTCTACTTGGGAGGTTTGGGGAGCTATGAGTATGGCCAAGGGGGGTGAGGAGTTTTGGGGGACTGGTTGGAGCTACAGGAACTTTAGGGGACTGTCTGGGGACTGGGAGTTTTAGGGAGTTATGGATCTAGCCAGAGAATGAGAAGGTTTTGGGCACTGGCTGTGGGGTTCAGGAGGTTTGAGGAGCTGCAGGTCCAGCCAGAGGGTGAGGAGGTTTTGGGGGCTGGCTGTGGGGTTCAGGAGGTTTGAGGGTTCAACAGAGAGTCACTCACTCAGTGCTGTCAGGATGCCCACCACGAACATGACAATGGCTAAGACGAGCCCAACCAGGCGCAGGGTGTCGTAGTCTGGGAGGAAAGGGGGGATCAGAGACAGACAGCATGCCCACCCAGAACCCAGCCGCCCACCCGTTCAGCCTCCCTTTCACCCCACAGCCCCTTCCCAGCTCCCCTCCCCAGCTGCCCATGTCCTAACAGACATCCCACCCGGGGGCGGGCAGGGGCCTGTCGGGGAAGGCTGCCTGACAGTGGCAGATTTAGAATTAGTGGGTCTCTGTGCTCAGCTTCCTTTTTGGGGGTGGGGGCCCTGTGGACCCAGCCAAAAAAAAGAACATTCTCTTCCTGCCCCTCCCAGTTTTCATTCTATTTTCTTCATCCTCCTCCTAGATTGTAAGTAATAAAAAGTAAATGGGGGAGAAGTGAGGGGCTTTGATTGGTTTTGGAGTCTAACTTTTTTCACAGACCACTTGAAAATTGCAGAGGGTCTCGGTGGACCACTGAATGATCTTTCCAAATATTGTTTGTACCATTAGCTAACTATTGTGATGTGCTTTATTAAAACCCCCATACTCTCCATGGCTATGGAGCGCAGCTTCAGGAGCCCCACTGGCCCTGTGCTGGCTGGCCCAGAGATGCGGGCACAGACCCAGATGAGCTCTATCTAAAGGTGAGGGGGCACAGTTCCACTGGCCACCTGATTGGCCTGGGAG